CAGGTGCTTCTTATCTGGGGAAACAATCAATGGGAATGATGAGGCAATTTAAAAATTAATTTTTACTATCTAAAGTTTAGATATTATTCAGATTGTAAGAGATGCATTATATGACCTTTTTTTTTTTAAATTTAGCTGTTTCCTGAATGTGGCTTAGTGTCCAAGAATAAATAATAATTTTGAAAGGAAAAAAAGACCTTTCCTGAGTAAAAGTTATTATATTTTAACGTGTTTTGTATGAAGCCACAATTCAAAATAAAAAAAGCACTTTCCACAAAACATGTCTGGCTTAAATCAAGTTTGAGCTGACTAATAAGCAAATAAAACCTATTAGTCTTATCTGCTGATACGAGATTTTGGAACATGTTGGCTTGAAAGGAAGAACCCCTGACTCCCTCCAACAGATCCATAGGATGCCCTAAATTCACATTATCTCTTCAGGTTGCAGCCGGGCCAGTGGTTCCAGGTCCCATAAGGGAAGCCAATGTTTTCTTGGTGGCAGAGAGATTTTGACAGATCACATTTTCAGTGCATGAAGGATTTCTTTTAATTTATGCCAAGAGTCAGGAAGGTTGATGAGTTTCTCCATTTTGTGTCACCTGTGTGAAATTCTAAACCCGAGCGCCTGGGTCTCAGCATGTGGAGTGATGGGTGCTATTGTCAGTGTATAGGAAGTGACGGATGTTGTAAATGTGTAAACTGTTTCTCAGAGTTAGGAACCTAAAAAGTACCAAAGACCATAAGAGTAAGAGGTGGGGACAGGGAGAAAGAACAAGATGGGGGGGTAAATAATAAGACAGAGACTGAACAAAAGTCAGGTGGGGGTGTCAAACATTTAAAAGAATCAAAGCTAGATCTCCGGCAACTACTTATAACCCAAACCTTAAGGTAACAAAGCAAAATGTTGAGATTCAAAGTAAAAAAAATCTAAAAGGAAATTAAGGAGGAAATAACAGATGGGAGGAAAATATTTAACTGCAGTCAAAAGAATGAAAACAAAATGAGTGAGTGACCAAAACAAAACTAGGAGAAACAAAATTTTCCTTTCATTTCTGTTTTGTATTATAGTCTGACTTCAGTAACATGAGTTTTTTTTCCTTCTTGTTGTTTGAAAAAGCACTTTCAGCTGTTTCAGCTCAATCAGGGAAAAAGACAAGATGCTAAGGCATTTCTGTTTTGAACCACACCTTCATTTTGTCCCACAGACGACAAAAACACTGGTCAACAATCTCTGTGCATCTTGTAAACCTTATATCAAAGAGGTAAGATGCAGAAGAACTAGAAAGTTCTGTACATACTTAACACTTAACAATATCAAGACCAAATAATATAATTGCTTGCAGATAAGCCTTCTTCCTTCTAAAGAAAGTACCAAAGGTAGAGCATGATTTAGTTGTTTGATATTTGTATTCCAGGAAGAGATACTATAATATCAGAAAACTAAATATTAGCAACGCTTTACATACCTTGCAAGTAATACCAGTATTTGTGGGAACTTTTGACACACGGGCATACACCCACACACAGAAGTGCACACACATGCTCAAAATATACCAATGTGATGAAATCTAGATTTACACGAATATTTACTTTTCTGATTTGTTTCTAAGCAGTGGCTTTTAATTGGATGTTTAATTATGAAGCAGTTATTGCTCATGTTCTTTTGAACATGGCTGTATGTTGCCACTTAAGTCTGGTAAATGTGTAATGCATTTAGCCACAATTACAATAGCATCATGAAAACCGAAACCACCACCATCCCACCATCCCTCAAACCTCAGAGCTGCTATTTTGAGACAAGTGTAGGGCTGATTTAGCAATGACCATATTTCCATGAAGTTTCTTTTATGCTGGTCCGTGTTATACCACCCCATATGTTACTCACGGTGTTTCAGAGGCACTTCTCTCTCTTTGGGTTGCCCTTCCAATGAGTTATTTCTCATACTCTTCCAGAGTTTTCCTCACCAAGCTCCCTCATTCAATGAAGTAGTTAATGACAAATTCGTTAGGTGAAGTCCGGTTGAAAGAAATCATGTGAACACTTGCAGTATTCAGAGTCCTTATGAAACGGGGATAACACCCTCTTTTAGGGGATGTTGCTATTTACTTCAGGATTTTTCTTGTTTAGGTTTTCTTGAAGCTGGGCAGGTGCCAGAGAACAAAACAATTTGCCAAGACACGGTCTTCAGAGATGAGCTGAAATATTGCATTCTTGGAGAATGTTTATCTCCCAGAAGGAAAATCAACAGTGGGTTCCATCACTGGTTTGTGGCCAGGATCTAGTTCTTGCTGGACTCTGTCACTTTCTGAAGCAGAAGGCAAGTGCTTCTGACCTGGCTGGGTGTGAGTGAGCTCCCGGGAGAAACAGGAAGTCAGGTCCCTAAGTAATTAGATGGTGATCACTGTGGACAAAGTTATAAAGCTGACTCAAAAGTTTTAGACAGTTGCTACTGGTCAACAGACCACGTTTTGAGCAGCATTGGCAAAGCCGGGAAGTCTGTTTGTTAGAAATGCAGAACCCCATACCTCACCTCAGACCTACAAAATCAGAACCTCCATTTCAGCACGGTCCCTGAGTGATTCACTTGCACATCCAAATTTGAGATATACTGTGCTAGAGTATCTTCTTTCCACTGGTCCACCTATTTAGGGATATAGTGTCCTGATCATCTTTCTTCTCTTATCATCCAAATTCCCATTCTTTCAATCAGAGTAAGGTATGAATGGTATTAAAGTAACAGGTGCAAAAGCCCTTGTTAGAGACAATGCAATGAGATTCAAGTACTACTATTTTTGGTGTTTAGGAAAGACATGAAATTATGTGGAAAAGACAAATCTGAAATGAGAAGATTCAGAATCCAGTTCATTCTGTCTTCACCTTTTAAAATTTGTGTGACCTTGAGCAAGTCACTTAAGCTATTTGAGCTCAAGTTCCTCAGCTTTAAAATGAGTCATAAGTAACATCTCCCTAGCTCCTTCCTGATGATTAATTATGAACTTCAAATTAGAGCAATAGACGAAAGTAACTTTGAACTGTGGCAAGCAATGCAAGTATTTGTTCCATCTACATCGGCAACTGAAAAAAATTTAGAATTCTAGGAGTCATCTTGGGGAAGGAGAGGGTTAAAGAGAGCCTGGACCAAGGAGCTAATAAGTGCCCAGCACTTCCCACACATTACCTCACTTAATTTTCACAGCCACTTTCCAAGGTAGTCATTATTATTCCCAATTTACAGACAAGGGAACTGAAACTCCAGGAGATTAGAAGCTTGGCCAAGGCTGTATCATTAAGTAAGTAGAAGAGCTGGAAATCGAAGCTGGGTTTATCTTGTTAAGCCACTGCACCTTGCAGCCATCCAGCTCTTTGTTCAACTGCTACCAAGCCAAGAGCAAACAAAATATTGCTTTAGTCAGAAGGGAGCTAAAGAGATTTCCCAAATGAAAGCACTGTCACCGCACAACCAGCTTTGTCGTGAACATAGTCCTGTTCTGTTTTAAGCACCCCTCCGTGGTTTCTTTCAAATGAAATCCATCAGGCAGTCTGGCTGCAGCCTCCATCTCCAGTCTTATCTCATCCATGCTCTCTCTTTCTTACTTAATTCCGGCCAAGTTAGCCTTTTGATAGTTCCTGGAACACACCAAGCTCCTGTCCACAGACATCCTTGCACATGACATTTGTTACCTATAGATCTTGGTCTCCCCACGTTCCGAGGCCACCTTATGCTCTGATTCCCTCGGACTCACATTAACTGTCCCTCCTTAAAGAGACTCTCTGACACCTCATCAAAAGTAAGCTCTTCCACTCACATTCTCTCAATTTTCAGTTTCCTTCTTTTTAACATTTACCATAATTTGTGATTATTCACTTACTTGCTTGTTTTCTTCCTCCCCCACCCTCCACACCCTCCAGGAATATAAGCTCTATGAGACAAGAATCACATTAGCCTTTTTATATCATAAGACCTAATCATTCAGTTACTTCTTAAAGGGAATGGAAGTGAAAGAGGGGAAGGGAAAAAGGGAGAAAGGAGTGAAGAAGAAGTAGGGTATTTGGAAATGCATGTGGCCTGACTTTATTTGTTGTAAGAATTTAAAAGGAGATTATAAAAACAAAACAAAGCAAAATTTTAAATTTTGCCTAGCACCTAGTACTTAATGATTAATAATGCTTCTTTTCTGAAAATATATCTTTCACTCAGTTGGGTTAAACAATAATACCAGAAATCCTGAAAAGTATCTCCCCTTCTAACCAAAATTTATTATTCCCTAGGAGTTGAAGAAATGCAGTTCACATAGAAATTGCACACTTACGTCAAAGTCCTCTGCATCACAGCCTTTCCCAGCCCATACCCTACCTTTTCAGTCAAAGCAGAAAGTCTGTTTGCTTCCAACCTTTCTTATTGTTCTCCTCTTTTTCTAAGTTGGTGGCAAACTTCCTCCTGTTGGCCTGGAAATAGCTGAGCAACAGCTGGAAAGGCTCATGGGCATGTCCCCTCCAGTAAGTAGGAGTGGGCCAATGAAAGTCCAAGTAAAGAAGCCAGAACAGGACGCCAGCCACGCTGTGTCCCAAGTCATGATGCTGGTCTTAGACAAGTCACTTGTTGGTGTGACGCCTGTGACTGCCAGCATTTCGAGTATGGCTTTGTCATTTACGAGCTGTGTAATTTAAGGCAAGTTACTTAGCCACTCTGTTCTTTAATCTCTTCTTCTACAAAAGAGGAATAGTAACATCCTCACAGGGTTATTGTAAGGAGTAAAAAATTATTTAAAGATCTTACATAGTCATTAGCACAGAGTAAACACAATGACTTTTAACTATAATATTTTCTCTGTGTGTGTGTGTGTGAGTGAGTGAAATGCCATTAGCAGATGAAGATCTTTTCAGCATGGATAGATTATTACTCAATGAGTTAATGTTTAAGAGTTAAGGTAAACATTTTTGGAGTTTGAACCCTGTCCGAGCAAAGTATCTTCTTGAATTTTCTGTTTGTCTTTTCTTCTTTAAGGTTAAAAAAAAAGTGTTGTGAAGAGAGAATGGAAAACAAAGTTACCGGATCCTGTGAGAGAAAGTTCTTGATCCCTGAAATCCCAGGTAAACCCTCGGAACTTCACTCCAATGTGATCCTTGTCAGGTGGGGCGTGACTGTGCAAGAAAGGGTGACAGAAAAACTAGGAGAAGAGAATGAGATGAGAGGGACACTTGTGGGAGATGGGTCCAGGAAGGGCTGAGGGGAAGAAGGTTCTGGGAAATGGAAAGAGTTCAGAAAATAAGCACGACTAGGAAAGCTAACGTTAACCAGCCACCTCCCATGTGCCAGGCGCTACTTCAGGCGCTTTCTCCCACCTTAGGAAATCTCCACTTTATACATAAGGAAACTAAGGGAGAGAGAGGTAATGTCATTTGCCCAAAGATCACATAATCACCAAAGAAGCTCTTCCTTTAAAATCTCAGTAAAATGGAGGAGTTGGCAGACGTAGGGTTTGTTTGAAATTGGAAAGGGGAAAATGAGGAATCTGATGATATGGAGGCGTTAACTTCTAAAATCTTTGTATCATTGTAAAAAGTATTTCTGAAACTCTGATCTCTGTTTTATGCACCTTGAAAAATAATCAGACTGGGCTAGAAATTAAGTCACAAAAGCTATGCATCAGTGACTTCTTTTGTTTGGATGAGAAGCAGTCTCGAGCTTGAGAGTATGCAGTTCTACCATAGTTGTAATAATCTTTTGTTACTCGACCTTGCTTGGCTCTCCCCTCCATCTTGCTCCAATGACCAATATATTCTAGCGATAATAAAGACAGAAACTGAAATAGGAGGAGGAAAATAATAAGAGTTTAGGGGTTGGCCGTAGAAGGCAATTTCTCAGACACTATAAAATCCTTGCTTATTTGGTTTGCAACCAGGAAACTCGGTTAATAACCATCCTTTTCCAACTCCTCTTGCAAGTATAAATCCAATACAATTCTTCAGTGAGTCACAGTAAAAAGAAAATGCAAAGGCATTTGAAAAAGCTCACCCATTTAGATTTAATTACATACATAGCTGGTGTCCTCCCAAGTGTGAAAATGCTGCAACTAATAAATCACAATAAAACGCTACCTAAGCAGAACAGATTTATAGAGAAGATGTGTGAGCAATCAAAATTCTCTGACTTGCATTGGGTATTTTTACCCAGAAACGTTCTTATACGTAAGAGCAAATGCCTGCTCTTGGAATCTTGCCTCTTTTTGAACAGTTTGTTTCCCTAGAGGGTATTCTTGTGTAATGACTTTTAAGTGAACAGGAGATTTTAATCTTAAAAATATCTCTCTGTGTTAAAGAATCACTAGATGTGTGTTTGTATGTTAGATTTTAAGGACCATCTCATTTGTCTACTACTGTTTCTCACATGCTTAATTAATTAATAACTACTAAATGAAGAAGGAGGAAGAATATTTCACACTAGAGCTTTCTGGAGATTTCACATACAAAGAAGACTGCAAACTTCTGCAAACCATTTTTTTTTAATGTAGCATTCAGACTACCAAAATATCCCAGGTAATAGCACAGAAAAAAAAAAACAGACTGTAATAATAGTAATGTGATAATTCAATCATTGCTAATGGTTTTAATCTTTATGAAATGAATGCATGTTAAAATGTGCTTACTTTGGACTGAAATTTCTTGTGAATGACAAACTTAGAGTAAGAAAATTGGGAAAAGTGGAGTCTCATTATCTTTTGGGCATACCTTTGCCAAGGGTAAAATTTTTGGAGGGTATGGACTCATCACATTTTTCATGTTCCCGTTTGGAATAAAATCAAATGGAAAAATATATTTTCCCTTTCAGTAAAACCTTCTGAAAAAAATACTTTAATACACTTTATAGCTGCTGGTTAACCATGTTAAAAGCATAATCTGATCTCTGCAGACACTTTCCTATGGAAAAGAGCCAGTCAGCTGAACAACTTCTTCATTTGTTGGGCTTATGAAAATGAGAATATAACAGACTTGAGGATTTCAAACCCATCCATGGTTACAAGTAAGGAAATAAATTACTAATAGTGGAGCTTTTATTTTATCATTAACTTAATAATGCTCTTGGTTTTTCATTGGTTAATGCAGAAAGCAGATGGCTCTCCCTGAGCTGGAAGAGTCCCTTTCTTACCCTTCTTTCTACATTACAGCATAAAGCTCACTTTTTAAGTGATTTTCGTTAGATAGGTTTTGTTTGCTTTGTTTATTTCTTTGGGAGTTCTAGGCTCTGACTAGAAAGCAGGAGTGTAACAATGTGAAACAGGCAAAGTTCAGAGATACTCTAGATCGACTCAAAAAGGACCCATTTCCTCCTCCCTAGCTGTGGATTTTTAAGTCTGGGTCTGGCTCCTGCTCGTTTCTCTAAATATTTATCGGTTAACATCAATGCATCAGCTCCAATGGCAACAAATTTGGCTGAAGAAATAAGCAAGAATGCTTTCTTTCCCCAAATATGCTAAATAATGCAAGTCCCATGAAGATTTTTGTAGCTGGAGTTTTCCTTCATCAAATTATCAGCCTCAGGTCCTTCAATTTTGACCCTCTTTTGACATGTAGAAAAATCACATTCCTTCAGTATACTCTGTTTGATTTCAGTATGCTCCGTTTCCCTTTTTTTTTCCTTTTGAAAAATCATTTCCCATTTGTCTCTCTATTTCCAGTAAGTTTCTCTAGTAAGTATTTGCCTCTCTTATCATACATGCTGGGCTCTGCTGAATGTTAATAGAACTGCTTAGCAAAGTCCACTGAATCCTGGCACGAGAACTTTTACACCGAAGAGAATTCCTTTCACTTAAAAATATTTTAAGAAATAAATTTATAGAAAGTTGCCTGATACAATTTAGAATTCATTATTTGATCAAGACACTAAACCCAGACCTGCATTTTGCAAGCCTTTTATTTTTATATTTGCAAAGGGCTCTTTACACGAGTTTACTTAAACTGACCTTTTATGCTTTAAATAAATGTAGTGTTTATAAACCTGAGGCAAAGCAGCAAATATAAATTGTACTAACCTTAGTATATTGAAACTTCAAATTGGTGAGTGGGGCAGGTATCTCTGGCCTGGCTGAGGACATTTCTGGTCAGGCTCCTGGAACACAGGTGACAAGCTCAGCGATTTGGTTCTGATAGAGCACTTGGCTTTATTTGTTCCTTTTTATCTGCATGGGCTAAGGTTTATTTGCATACTGGGATATGATTGGATGAACAAACTGGGAGCAAAAAGAAAACGACACTACTTATTTGTAACACCTAGGGCAGGAAGCCCTTGACTTTAAACTTAAATCCTTAAGAAACCAGTGCTCCAGTACTGAAGCTGCATCTGGAGACAGGGCACTATTTGCAGACGAATTAATTTACACAGCCGAAACCTGTGATAAGGGTACGAAGCACAGCTGCGCTGGCCACTAAGGCCAGTTATTATTTTTTTGACTTTTCATGCTTTTTATGCTACTGTGAAACTTTCTGTTCTCTGACAGACTTGGAATCAGAGAATTTGAGGATTGAAAAAAAATCTCAAATGGCACACTTGTTCTCAGCGGAAGCTGATGAGGAGAGGACCCTGGCCAGGTGTCTTCGGGATAATGCTGTTAGCGAATCAGTCCATGTCTCAGAAAAGCAGGGTGCTGTTTGTGGAAGAGAGGTCTTCTAGACAGACCCTGCCCCAAGGCAGCTTTAAAAAATCATACTGATCAAATGTATTTTCAGTGCTTGGTAAGGATTTCAGGAGCTCTGAATTACCTTTATCTTATAAATGGTAACAGAAAAGTCAGCAGGATTTTTAGGGAACTCAGACTGCACTGTCACACACCATCACCACAATAGCAATATGGCAATGTCCTCTATTAAAACTAATTTAAACAGAAAGTAACCTCTGGTTTTGGAAGTTGGTTTTATTTATCAGTCCTTGATACAGGGAATTGTACAAAGTGTGAATTTAATGGAACTCCCAAGTAATTCAGGTTCTTAAAATGCAATTAATGTTTCAAGTTGGGATAATTTTTAACTGTACTGCTCCCATTTTAAACACAATTGTTGATTTTTATTGAAGCTGTAGCAAAAATGACAGAACAAGAGGGAAAGCTTTGCATGGCTCTTAATTGACTACTAAGAATTAAGAACAACAATTAGTTTTTTTCCATTATTGCTGGCTTCCCTAAATACTGGATTTAGGTAGGGAGGCTAAGGCTTACTGAAGAGTTACTCCAAGTTAGGTGCAGGAGTCTTACTTTCTTTTTCCATACTCACTTGGCTACCCATTTACAGACATAGAAAGAGTAGGTAGCTTGCTTATGATCACAGATCTAATTTAAGTGCAAGACCAGAATTTCATTTCAGACCAGTCTGACTCCAAAACCTTGGCTCTGATTTTTGTTTATTCTCCCTGCCCTCCTCTGCATAAGAGAATGCCCAGATAGGCTTGAGAATCGGCTGTTTTGGTTCTCTCAGGGAGGAGTCACCCTTGCAGGCGATTAAGCTTAGCCTTTTATTCATCTAAGACAGGGGTCGGCAAACTTCTTCTGTAAAGAGATAGATAAAGGTTTCTGTTGTAATTTATTCAACTCTGTATGAAAGAGACTGCAGATAATCAACGCACGAATGCGTGTAGGTGTTTTGCAATATAATTTTATTTGCAAAAACAGGAGGCAGGCCGGATCTGGCTCACGGACCATGTCCCTAGATTTTAAGACAATTACCCCCAAGGTCCTTGCCTCCCCTGCGCCTCATGCTTGAAGACCAGACGGAAACTTTGTCATTTCACTGTCTCTTTCTCTCTCTCTCTCTTCCTCTCTCTTGCTCTCAATTTCATTCTTTTTGGAAAAATCTAATTGTTTTCTCTTTTAAAAATGTGTTTTGAGTTAAATGCACAATTATGCAACAGCTGTTACGTAACCTGCAGTGTGGTGCTCTCGCCAGGCCCAGACAGCTGTGTTTTGGTGCTTTCTTCTGCTCTCAGCTTTTCAGTTCTTTGTGGATTCAAACAGTGGCTTATTGGATGTCCAGGCAGTGAAAGCTCAATGCTTCATCACACGCTTGGAGTGTCATCTCACTATTTATATGCTCATCCTTAGTCATATTTTATTGAATAATTACATAAGAACAGGTCCCTTTATGTCAGACAATACTGAATGTAAGTAAAAGGAACAGCTTTGGAAACAGGTTACCACACCTGCCTATTTAATTTTAACAAATATTTACCAACTATCCTCTATGACTAAAGCATTGTGACTGGAGTATCAGGAACTCTCCAACCTTAATCTTACTTGAAAGGCAGATCTTTTCTGTCCAGAAACCACAAGGCCTGCGATCTCTATTTCTGAAGTATCATCCTGCCTCTAGAATTCATCTTGTGGAAGAATACATTCTTGGGAGTGGTTGCATGGGTAAAAGGCCTCGGTCACTTCCCTCGCTTACAAAGGCAAAATGGCCTTGGAGAGAGCACAGGGGTTAAGAAGGCTCACTTCAAGCCTGAACCCAAGCTTATATGTTTCTATTGTATGCTAAGATTTTGCAGCAGAGGAGGGGCTGGAACTTGAACTTGGGAGTAATAGAAGAAGGATATTTAATCATCCTTTCCTTTTTAGGGACAAGCTAAATCACACACACACACAGGCACACACACACACACACAGACACACACACACACACACACGGAGCCATGGAGGGGAGAGAGGAGCACAGTACGTTTTCTTTTGTGAAAGCTGTCATTATACCAAGAAACATACAGACCAGGTAGGTCTTCGACCATTGCTAAAAGTACTGTCTCATTTTGTAACGAATCTTTCCAGAAATCCACTCAAGCCTCCGTCACTGAGAAGCTAATGGAGTCTTACCTTCTCCCCCACAACTTGAGTAAGTGAAATAAAAAACATGCACATTCAACAAACTTAATTGTATGATGAAATTTTTAAAATAGCCTCTTTCCACATTTTTCTGACTTCAAAATCCAGGATCGATTTGTTGGAGCTGAACTTCTTTTGCTCAGTGACATCCGCTGTCCCAGACTCTTCAGTGTTGCCTTCAGCATGACTGGGTGAGTCTGTCGGTTGGTTAACCCAGCTATGGATATATCCCTTTGCTTTTGATCACTGCAATTTCAGCAGACACCACATGGCTCTTATGCCTCTTTGGGTTTTAATAATTTGAAAAAAGTGGATCTTGTATGTGATAAGAGAATCTGTGCTTGGTTTACAAGTTGATGTTAAAAATGGACATGGAAGGAGCATTTGAGTACATGGACATGTGTGTTTGTCGGCTAATTTCTGCTCATCTGCCATTCATCTCCTTAGCAGAACTTCTTTACCTCTGCTTTCTCCTCCTCACGTAGCTGATCACTGTTCTCTCTTCATCTTGTTATTAAGATATGGCAGATGCCCCTCTTATCTGTTACAATCAGGACACTAATTCATCAGGTCACTAAAATAGGTTTTTGCCAAATTTCATGGGCCAAAACCATTTCTTGGCACTGATTCTGCTGCTAGTTTGAAATAATCTTGCATAAATGGTGTCCACATTGTTTTTGTTTCCTCAAGGTATCTTTCACGCAATCTGAATGTAGACTAGTTTGAGATTTTTATGAATTTTCTCATTTTTAACAATTATTTGATGCACAGATTACATAGCCAGTGTGTTTAATAATTCGATGAGATTGTTTGCATAACACTCAGCTTAGTTTTCATAGAAGTCATTTTCCCTTTTCTCCTAATACGGCAACAACTTAAATCACATTGAATTCAATTATGCCGTTGAAATTCTAGGTTCATGAATGATCAGAGTTTGGAGCAAAGAAGTTTGACTGTTGCTAAGCAGAGAAGATTATGCCCAAAACCGAGTGCATGTAGACATGAATATCCGTACTAATATTTGTTTTTCTCTTTTAACTTATTTTTTATCAAAGATTTTTTAAAGTCAAATATACCATGTATAGAAAACTGCAAAAATCATAAGTGAACATCTTAACAAATAGTCATAAAAGGAACAAAACCAAATAACCACCACTGGGGTCAAAGAATAGAACAATATCAGAACCCCGTAGCCCACTTGGAACCTCCTCTCTGTCACTGTCCTCTTCTTCCTCATTCCAAATGACTAGTGTCTTAATTTCTAATGCCACATAGTCCCTTTTCCCTGATTTTGAACTTGTAAGCCAATTATACAGTCACAATATTTTGACAAAGGAAACTGAGGGGTCCAAGTTAATCTGGCAAGTGAGATAAATCGTGGTTGTAGGTAAAGAACGATTCTCAGGGGGTACTCCCCACCCCAATAGACTACAATAAATTATAAATGGAAGATGCGCAGCCACAAGTTAGCCCTTTTTAAGAACTGAGGGGCACTTTTTTTAATCCCAATCCCAGCACGTGTTAAGGCTGCAGAGAAATGGCCCTTGTCCTGCAGTGCTTCTTAGAACTTAATAGCATTTGGAAATTGTATCAGAATATCAAAAACATTCAACCCTTGACCTGGTTATTCTACTTCTAGAAATCTAAGGAAACAATCAAATATGTATAAATTATGGGCACGTTTCTTTAACATAATATTATTTATAAAAATAAAGAAAAAATACCAAATGGTTAGATAAATCATGGGTTAGCATAGGAAAGTAAACAAATACTTGAGGAGGGACCTGGTGAACTTTTGTGATATATTGTAAATTAATAATAAAGCAGGTTACAGCCTGTGCGCTGTGTGTAGGGATGATAAGCAACTGTGCTTCTCTCTTAGTATTTGGCCAGAATCTACAATTTGCCTTGACTTCAGCCTCAGCATTTGGAAAGCTAAATAGCTGAATTTTCACTCCAGTGGCATTTCTGGCATTCCAAATTTATGTATGTTAAAAAAAAACAAAACCTTGTAATTTCTTTGGTTATATTTTATAAAATTTTCCCAAGCTGAATAAAGGCCCCCAAAGATATCTCTGGAACCTATGAATGTTACCTTATATGGCAAAGGAAAGTTTGCGTATGTGATTTAGTTAAGGATCTTGAGATGAGATTATTTTGGATTATCAAGGTGGGCCCTAAATGCAAGTACTAGTATCCTTATAAAAGGGAGCCAAAGGAGATTTGACTGCAGAAGCAGAAGGCGGTATGACCACAGGTTTTGACAACTCAGGGGCGAGGAGCCCAGGAATGCAAGGAATGCTGCTCCAGAAGCTGGAAATGGATTCTCCTCTAGAGCCTCTGGAGGGGGCTGGCTCTGCCCACCCCTTTGATATTGGCCAGTGAGACTGATTTCAGCCCTCCCACCACTAGAGTTCTCTAGTAAGAGAAGAAGCGTGTGCTGTGTTCAACCACTAAGTTTGAGGTGATTTGTTGTCTCAGTCATGGGCACTGAATGCACTAACCACTTCAAGCGTGAGTTCAAGTTTTCCAAATAGTACATGCTGTCGCTGCTCACACACTCTGCATGTTTCTCTGGTTTATTATTAATATCTAAGTAGTCATGTTCAAATAAAGGAAAGCCTCCCTCCCCTCTGTACCTTGGAATAAAAACTTCTCAGGTTGACATTTTGAAAACCTTCCAGTTCCAGTTGTAATACAACTGGATGTTCATTCAGTTGTAGAAGTAAGATGCAGTAGATGATGATGTTTGTGAAAGCTATTAATTTTCTTAAAATAATCATTTTAGCTGGACAGTCTCAAACTTAGTTTGCGTTTGCTTGCTTGGATTCGTTCCCACATTTTAAAGTTACACCTGTATACCCAGATCTGTAACTACATTTCAAACTTATCTTACAAGCTCTGGCTTTACATTCCAGCAGCTCATTGGGTACCTGAGCTACATGTCACATCTAGTCAGATAGCTGGGTTTGAAAACTGAGAGCCTACATATTTGTTTCATGTGGACCATGCAGTATGATTAAAAAAAAAAAGAAACATTTACATAAAAACCCAGATTTTAACATAAACATCAGAAGACCTGAAGAGTGTCTGAGCCTGCCTGCCATTGGAATCACCAAGGGAATTCAAAACAAAACAAAACAGAAGATTCTGATTCAATAACAGTGGTTTGAGCCCAGCTGTTAGTATACATTTGAAGTTCCTCAGGTAAATCTAACGTGTGGCCAGCTGTCAGAACCACTGAAGTAGTTCTGGCTCTGTTTCCTCCTGGTGCTCAAAGTTGGAGCGACATCCACATCACCTGGAAAACTTTGAGAAATGCAAATTCTGAGGCCCCATCTCAGACCAGTAAGTCAGAATCTCTGGAGTTAGGCCCAGCAATCTGTGCTTTAACGAGCCTGTCAGGGGATTCTGATCCAAACTCAAGTTTGAGAACCACTGCACTACAGTGTAGACCCCGCCTATCTCTATTTTTTAGTTCAGCCTGTTTCCACTCAATTAAGTTAACTGCCTAGTCTCAGTTTACATTTTAAGACCCCTAACTGAACTAATAATCATTTCCCCAAATCAAGCCCTTTTTCTTGAATTTTCTATTTCTGATTGTGACAAAACAACAAAAATCAAGCCTCAAGTATTTTGGATTCCTTGCCTTTTTTTCTTGTTAAACTATTAATTTTATTTATTGAAATAATTATTTTCATCTTTCAATATTTTAGGTCTGGGTTTTAAAGAGCACATAGCAGTTAATATTTTTAAATCCAAGAATCTCTGCCTACACGTGTATGCTTAGTCCACTCCTGTCTATTTCTATCTATTGTAATGACTGATGTGCTTTGTGCTTTCTGTCTGTCCTTTTATCAGGTAGGATTAGGTTTGGTTGCCCCTCATGGAAAACCCCAAATAAATAATCAAGTTGGAAATGGGTTTCTCTTTAACATAAACAGACGTTGTAAACTGGTCGTCCAGGGGAGGCATGGTGGCAGAGCTAACAGATACAGAGGCTCCTTTCAAGCTCGCTGCTCCATGAACTATGACTCTTGGCCTTCTAGTAAGAGAAGGCTGCCAGAATTCCAGCCATTACATTCATATTCCAGGATTCAGAATGGGGAAAGGGGAAAAAGGTGACAAAGGACTAGGATCCACTGCATTTTAAGGAGGTTTCCCTGAAGCTTAGAGCTCAATGACCAGAGCTTAGTCAATGTCCACACTTCGCTATAAGGAAAGATAAAGATTGTAAACTGTTTCTGGGCAGCCAGGCTTACAGTTCAAAATCAGTAATTGTACTATTAAGAAGGGAGGACTAAGTAGAGGTAATTGCAAACTCTTTTTCTTTTTGCCTGTCTTCTCTTGCATTGATTACAATTTCTTTATTCCTCCATTTTCACCTCTTTTCTTATTTGGAAGAAATACTTTCTATTTTTATTAGTCAACCTATAAATTTTAACACATTTATAAACATGTATAAAGTTAATCAGTCTCTCTTACAAGTAGTTCAGGACTTTGAACCCTTTATCTCTGATTCTCTCTATTCCCGTTTTGCATGTTATATGTGTGCTATGTGTCTGTTGTAATGTTTTCTCCACCTTCATTTATACTCCCCAAACTAGGCATAATTATATAATTATTATCTTGTTCAATCAATTTCTATTTTACTTTACCTATTTACTTAAAATTGTCTTTACCCATGATTCACAGTCCTTTCTTCTCTGTTTAATTTCTCTATTTGAGAGTCTGTGAGAGCTTCAAATTTTTGACCAGTCTTCTCTGGAGATTGTCAATTTTATTAGTATTTCAAAGAACTTTTGGCTTTGTTGAGCCTCTCTAATTATATGTTTGTTTGTTTATTTAATTAATTTTTGGTCATAATTCTCATTGCTCGAGGTTTGTTTTGTTCCTTTTTTAACTTCTTGTTACTTAGATCATTTGATTTTTCAGCCCTCCTTCACTTAAAGCTTTAAACTTCCCTCTAAGCATGTCTTTAGCAACATCTACCAGTTTGGATATAGCATTTTCATTTTCAATCAGTTAAAATTAGTTTCTAGTTTCCATCGTGATTTCTTCTTTGACTCATGGTTTACTTTGATATGCGTTTCTTAGTTTCCCTACTGGTTGGCAGTAAACAGCCCCAAATCGTTGCAGCTTACATTAAGGCAGTATTTTTATTTGATTACAAATTTCGCATTGCTCTATC